GTGTGTGTGTGTGTGTGTGTGCGTGTGTGAGTAAACATGGGGAACAGAGGATGATATGATGAAGGAGGGTGTGTTCACTCACGTGTCAACGGTCAAATCCAGCTTTAGTGGTTTAGGTTAGGCCCGCCTCCTCTGAAGGCCAACGCCCTCTTTAATCCCACCTGCTGGCTCCTGACTTGTACCTGTAGCACATGAATATGTGTGAGTGTGACAAAGTGGAGCTCAAACTGCGATGGCTGTTCCCTCACAGCAGGTCTCCGAGCGGCGCTTTTTCCTTTTGTGGCGCTGACCTGAGTGTCTTTGTGATGGGATTAGGTTTGGAGTTTGTGTTTGTGGTTTTAGTAACACAGATAAATGCCGTCATGAAGTGTGACCTTTGACCTTCAGGTGTCCAATAACACAATAACACTGGTCAGCTCTCCCCCGTGTGGGTGACAGAGGGGATTAGAGAGGATTTAATAAGATTTATAATAAACCAGCCGTCCTTTTAACAACATACCAAACCGTGTTTGTGCTGCGTGTTGGCAGGAAGTCTGTTTAGCTTGGTCTGATAAATCAAGTCACAGTCATAATAATCTCCACGCCGCGCCGATGGAGGGGAGGGAACGCTGCTGGACTCAGAGGAAAGTTTATCGTTCCTGACTGTCAGATTCCTGCTGAACCGTCAGAGTTAAAAGCCAAACACGGCTCTACCCCCAACCCTAAGAGGCGAGCGAGCAGCCGCAGCAGCAGCCGGTCTTCATCGGTGGGCAGTGTGTGGTGTAACGCTGGTGTAAAATGGTTATCAATGCTCCGTGTTCGATGGTTACAGTTAGGTATGAGATGGTTTCTGTGAATCTGAAGCCGACATTTGATGGTTTGAGCTTCATATTAGGTTTGCAGTGGGTGTTGAACGAGCTGCTGGGCGAATATGATGTAAAAGCGTTTCTAGAATCAGTCTGTCAGGATCTAAATTCGGCCGAAATGGGTCTAAATTGGTGTTTAATGGTTTAAACGATGTTGTTGACTTTAATTGAGTTTCTTAAATAAAATAGAAGCTATTTCTGGCGTCTTCTGACCCCACCTTATATTTATCTTTATTCTGATAAGACTTTAAGTAAATCAAAGGAAAACACTGAACATAACTGTGTGTGTGTGTGCGTGTGTGTGTGTGTGTGTGTGTGTGCGTGCGTGCGTGTGTGTGTCCTCGATGCGCTCGTGTAGATGGAGGGGATTAGCAGCGAGCAGGCAGCGAGTGATGAGCTGCGAGGGGAAGGCTCGCAGAGGTCGCAGAGTGTAAACGAGCGTCTCCTTTCTCGCCTCCTCTGCTGCTCCACCTGTCGCTCTTCTTTGAGGAGCAGCTCGCAGTGATGCTTCAGACCAACGTGTCCAACTTTGTGTCAACGCTTCTTTTGGTCTTTTTCCTTTTTTCCCTCCTGACAGTAAAAGCTTTCCAAAATCCACAGAAGCTGCACATTCCTGACATTTTCCCATTTAATGGCAACAATGCTTCGGATCTGCATCTGGACCAGCCTCAAACCCACCCACTCATGGACGATCATGTGACGCGTGTGGCAAATTCTTTTCTTACATTAGTTCATGAGAAAATAGACGGAACAGCTCAAAGTCGCTGCCCAACCAAACTCCATTCACTTTTCTTCGGTTTTAGGGAAGCGGTGCAGAAGTCGTCCATACTGTCATCTTTAGCATCCACACATCTGACCACACGGTCACATGACCCACAGCCGGGTTTAACCCTGTGCGCTGTAGCAAAGAAAGCGTTCAGTTACAGTCCGACACTTGTTTATCTCTCAGGCTCACACATGTTGCAGCTTTCTCTGAGAAATTACAGTGCAGGAATGTTTTGGCTGCTTCTGGGCTCGTGATAAGAAGACTTCATGCTTTTTATGACAGTTGATTTTACAGCTCACAGAATGAGATCAAGGACGAGCGCGCGTTTCCCATCGCTTCTGCACGCAGATGTGAACGAGCGTCTGTCCGCAGCTCGGCCGTGACCGAGCAGCTCTGATTGGCTCCGGCCTAAAGCTGCAAACATGCAGCTACTGTGGGTTTTTATGAGCTTGTGAGAAAACGAACAAAGAAGCAGAAACCTGCAGCTGATACCCTCAAAACACCTCACATCACCACAGCCGGGCAGAAGCAGCACGTCTGAGTTGAACTGCTCCTTTAAATAGAATAAGAGGTCAACAAAGCTACTTTATCCGTTTTCAGCATCATGAGTGAAAACATGGCTGCTCTCAGCGGCATGGACGCCACGCCATGCCAGCGTGGTTCTGCTCGAGTGCCCACAGAAACCCACAGAAGCCGTGCTTCAGCTCCACGCTGCCAGATTGGTCCCTTACGCTCTCACAGGATCTCTGTGCTTGTTTGAAGGCTGCAGTAGCTATTCTAAGAAACAATGAATGAACTTTTATTTCCTTATCTTCGTGAAGTGTCGACGATGATGCAAGCGAGACAATCGCCTCCGAATTGTCGCTTGAACTGTGTTAATGGACTCGCTCGAGTGCCAGCCGCCTCCGCATACGCACACGAGCCGCCCAGTTCATCAGCTGACATTCAGAAACTCCCAAATCGTGACTTTGACTTTCTGCACGGACGCCCACGGGCGACAGACATCGGGGAGAGAGCGGGAAAGGTGATGTGAGGCGCTTATGCAACACCGGCGTAACTGGTGCTGTTGGTGTGGAGGCTTCTAGGAGATACGAGATACAGTGTGTGTGTGTGTGTGTGTGTGTGTGTGTGTGTGTGTGTGTGTGTGTGT